CGGGCCGGGGCCGCGGCTCTCGGAGCGCAGAGGGCCGGGGTCTGCCCCGGGCCGAGCCTGCCGGGCAGCGCCACACCGCACCTCCACCTGCCGCGCTGGGCTACGTGGTCGCGGGCGGGGCCTCGGCCCGAGGGCAAGTTGGACGCGCCCCAGGGTCCGCGGATGAAAAATACATTACGGAAAAATACCGAATTTGGATGAAAGGCAGGGAGGCCGAGTGGGGTACTGTCCCTTTAAGCCTGTCCCCGCCCGCGGGCGCTCGTGGCCGGTGGGAGGGCCGTGCTGAGGTGGCATCTGCGAAAGTTCCTCCCCGGCCGGCCGGGTCTGACTTCCAGAGCTGCTGAAGCGCAAGGCCGGCCTTCGTGTGCACCGGCCTCTTGAGTTCGGGACCTCTCAGCCGAGCTGCATTTTATTCCTGTTCAGGAGTTTGTGGTCTTGAGTGCTTAAAAAAAATTCGCGCAAGATTTCTGAGGGCATGAAAAGAAGAAATTTTAACTTTGGGAGAGAAGCCTGGAACTCAGCTGGAGGGTTTTTTGTGCCCTCCATACCCAACTCTGCTTGGAGTATGAAGCGCTTGAGAGCCTCATTAGTTGGGGCTGACTAGTTCTTTCTGGAGCATTACCGATGATTTCTCTTTGCAGACGGTTGCACCTTGCATAAGTAGTTGACAAAACTTATAACAGGGGAATCAAATACTTTGTACAGAAGCAAAAAAGTAGAATTCTTCATTTAAAAAGACTTGTCGTCTGCTTTTAGCACCAGGTTTCCAGCATAAATACACAGCTGTTGCAACTTCACCTTTCTCCCTTGCGTGAGCCCCAGCTGCTCCCCAGTTCTTAAGTTGTAAGAGGAAGCCCTTGTCTTCTACATCTTTCTTTAGTTCTGTTTGCAGCCTGGTTACATTTTTAAGAGATGACTTTTTTTTCTTTTTTTCCTGTGGACATTTTCACTCTGGCAAACAAAACATAAAATCCAAGTTGAGAGAATAGTTTGAGGTTTGCACTGGGGACTTGAGTGCTGACTAACCCTAGATTCCTGTGGGGAAGGTAGTCCAGTTCTGAGGGACTGGGGACCCTGAGGGAGGAAGATGAGATGGACTTATGGGAAGGAGACCATCTCTCTGGCCAGAAAGGAAAAGAAGCTGTAGACTTTGTCATCTCTTGAGTCACAACCTTGTCAGCCATGCAAAGGGAGCCTCTGAAGACCATGTGTTCCTGTGGTGGTATTTGAAAACTGGTTTATAGTACTATCCAAGGTCCCTTTCAAATCCTGACTTGAGCAATATGGTTCAATCCAGTGAGAATCTGAGGAACCAAAATGCCAGGCCTCTGTTCTTTGAGGACGGCCTTCCTCAGTTCTCCTGCAGGCTTGGCAAGTGGAGAAGGATGGACGGCTTGCTTGCCTGGAGTGACTCGGTGAGGCATGGGCATCCAGGGGCACACTAGGCCTCTGGCTGGCTGTCCTCAATGAAGGCAAAGCTCACAGCAGTGGCTATAGAGGTGAGGACTGATTTGGAGTTCTACTTTGTTAACCAGAGGCAGGCAGACAGTTGGACTGGGATCCACTGGGTTGAGAGCATGTCATAGAAAGAGTAAACCGGTCATTGTAGGGATGAGGTTGGCATTTACATGTGGGTCATCAGGTAACTGTCTAAAATTAAGTCTTTAAATATGGGGTTTTGAGTTGTGAAAAAAGCAGTCTTGTTAGATAATACTGGAACCCTGTGTGTAAAATATGTCTGTAATTGAATCCATTCTTCTCAGCCTCTGAGAAGATTCAAATTGCTGTTTGAAATCTGGAAGCTAGGGCCTCAGCGTCTCCTGTCAAGTCATTCTGGATTTTTCTGGAGGTCAAGTCTACTGTGCTGGCTAGGGCCTTTGTACATGTGAAGAGCACTGGAGGCCTACTTCAGTTCTCCCTTGGTCACGTAGGCTTAGCTGTGTGGAGCTTCCTTTCCTAAGCCACTTGGACCAATGGCATCAATATGAGGGCTACTTAGAATGAACTCCCAGAAGGTGTATGAGAGTCAGAAGAGATTGGTAACTGGGGCAGAGTGAGGCCTGGTCCAGCACAGCTGTGTGCTGCTGCAGTTGGTGCAAGGTGATATGACATCGTGTAGGCTTGTGCAGCTATGGCTGAGCCCTCGAGACTTGCCTCCTCCTAGAAAGCAGGGACCTGGTCAGTGGCAACACAGAGATAAGGATGTAGTTGAGGTCACATAGATGACTGTAGCTTGGTAAGGGGGTGGGCATCTGGGTTGAAGAAGTAACATTGAAGCCTGGCAAGTTACCAGCCCGGTAGAGGGACTGCACAGGCAGGAGTAGACAATCCTGTATTACTGCTGTCTTTTCATCTTAGACTCAGAGTTCGTAGCTGCCATAAAGCCCACCTTTGCAAATTCAGGAGTGCATGGGGTTGCATGCAGCAGCAGGTGACCTACCTGGTGGCCTCACCCATCCAAAAGGCCCCCAAGGCAAGGTGACCCACACCCTCTCATTTTACAGAGTAGTCCTTGGTCCTCCTCAGACAGCCTTTGAAGGTTCTTCCAATCCTACAATTTTATGACCTGGTTTCTAAATCCCCTGTGGATTAGAAGGGGCTGAAGGACTTTTACAGGATAACAGCAAGAACAAAGGAACTGCAAAGTTCAGAAGATTCTTAAAAAGACAGGAGCGCTTGTCATCCTGATGTGATACTGGCTGATACCGCAGCCCAGCCTGCTCAGCAGACTAGAAGTTACCAGGGTCCAGGAAAGAAGGTTTAACCAGCAGGGGAAGCCATCAATTTTGTGAGGATTTTACTTCTGAATGATAAGACTTAAAAGTTTTGGCACTTAGGGACCACTTCCTCAGGTCCCTAGAAGAGTTGTCTTCTAAGAGTTCAATATCTTGAATTCTCAAAATGTTCAGGTTTTTCTGTAATATGTTTTGTGTGAAGCTAATGGCCTAAGAGTAGAGGTTTCATTTATTTTCCTAAGAAACTTGCCCAAGTATTGGTATTAGTAGCTGAAGTTTAAAAAGATTATAATCCCTCCTGCTTGGGAGAGAAAAGGATCTGAGTTGCAAAATGCAGATAAGTAACTTTTCTCTGGTTTTCTTTCTCCCTGTTCTTTTCCTTCCTATCCCATACCAGCAAAAGCTGGCAGGCTGACAGAGGCGGCCTCGGGACGGACTTTCTGGCTACTGACCATTTTGCTGGTAAGTTTGACTGCCCTGCCCAAAGACTTCCTATGCCTGGAGCACAAGAATGTGTATTTCCTTAGCCTACGTGGACTTTCATCTTCTGTATCATCAGAGACATATCTGAGGCTTCACCTCTTAGCGTAATCAGTCTGAGACATGTGTCCTCTGGCTTCCTTTTGTTTTTAAATCTTTTTTTTTCTTATATGTAAATTATGTTTGTTAGAATTATCTCGATTTGGGTCTTACTAGGAATGCGGTTTAAATTACTTGGCTCTTTTACCTTTTATTTATTTATTTTTTTTAAGCCAAGGTGGTACAAGTGAGACACTTGGTACATAATTATGTGAAAAAAAAAATGGTTTTTCCCTGTTATGGTTGTATGAAGCTAATGTAGAACTTGGGGGAAGGTATAGAAGCTAACATCTCTGTCTCAGTGCTGAATTGTTTCAGATTTTCCAAATAACAGAGCTATAGCCTTCAGAGCCAGTGTATTGCTGGGCACTGTGGCTATCCTGAACTGAGGAACTCTTGGTCTGGGGCCTGGGCTCCCACCACTTTTTCTGACCTGTAAGTCCCCTCCCACACCTAGGAGACAGAATACAGGAACTAATCAGTCAGCAGGTGCCTGAGGCATCTAGCACAATACGTGGGCCTATTATATGTCAGAGAAAGCACTGTGAGGGTGCTGCTTCCTGCCACCTCTTAGGATGGGAAGTGGTTCTCTTTGGGCCTTGGACAGGCACCAAGCACCTTGCAGATCCTGGCTGGCTTTTTGTAGCAACTGTCATGTGATGCTTTTGTAAGCTCAAGAGGCATGTGGTGAACAAATCGACAAAATAACAGAAGGAGATGACTGTTAAAAGAATGACCCAGGTATTGGTCTGTGTGGGAACTGGATCAGGCAGGTGGTAGGTTCCAGTGATCCTAGGGCCCCTGGGGTGTGGTACAGACTATGTCACTAAAGCCCCTGGAGATACAGACTGCCCTGCCATGCAGAGGTGGGTGCATACTGTAACCCCTGGACATTCTGGCACTGGTTGTCTTGACCAAAGCCTTGTCTTCTCTGTGATAGGCAACTTCTGATCCAACAGTTAACCAGATGTCCAAGGACTGTCCTTTACTTGCATTTTTTTCCCTATTCATCCTTGGTGAGAGTTTGGGTATCAGTTTACATTAAAGCTTGTGAGGAGACCAGGCGGCAGTGGCTCACGCCTGCAATCTAGAATCCTGGTTTGAAGCCACAAGAACTTATCTTGAAAAATCCCATCACAGAAAAGGGCTGGTGGAATGGCTCAAGGTGTACACCCTGAGTTCAAACCCCAGCACCGGAAAAAAAAAATGCTTGTGAAGAAAATTAAGATGTAGTTTGCTAGCTAAAACTCTTCTGCTATTAGTCTCATACAGATTGTTGAGAGTTGGCAGTACTTGGACTTTTCCCTCCTTGATTTCCTTTCTTGCTGTAGTGGCTTACCTGGATTGCGTGTGGGTGTGAGATCAACCATGAGCTCTGTTGCAGTTTTGACCCAAGAGAGTTTTGCTGAACACCGAAGTGGACTGGTTCCGCAACAAATCAAAGGTGACAGCTCCTTTACAAGCTTTTCTTGTTAATTTCTGGGGTACTTCTACCTCCAAGCCTCCTCCAAATTTTCTGCCCTTTCTAGAAGTGTATTCTGGGCTTGTGGTTGCTGGGTGGAGTCAGGACCCTACCATCTTGTGTACTTTCTGGTTTTGCTCTGATGAATATGCAGGTGGGAACTGGCCAGACATAGGGATGTATACAGGTACAGTGAGATATAAAAGGTGAAATTTATTAGAGATCCAGTGGATTTAACTCTTGGTAATTAATGGGATCCTTTTCAAAATTGCTGTCTCAGTTATGGGCCGTGAAGTATCCTAGCATTATCAAGCCTCCTTGAGGACAAAGGCCAGGCCCTAACTTCTGAGTTCTCCAAAGCTGCTAGCCAAGATCAAGAACACCACCCAGTAGAATAGACTGCCACACACATATGCAATTTGAAAATTTCTGATACCCATATTAAGTAAAAAGAAACAAGTGGAATGAATTTGTTGTTTTGTTGAGACAGGATTTCACAGTGTGGCCCAGGCTGGCTTTGTACTCATAATCCTCCTCCTTCATCATCCCAAGTGTTGGGATTATAAGCATGTACCACCACACCTAGCTTTTAATATAGTTTACTTAAACTAATACATCTAAGACTTTCTCATTGCAATGTCTCTTTAATGTAAAAAGGAAAAAAAAAAACCCTCTGATTTTATGTTCTTTGGCTTTTCCTTCAAAATCTGGTGTATTTACAAATAAAGAACATTTTGATTTGAATGTTAAATTTTCATCTAAAATTCTCGTTTAGATTACTTAAGTTTTTCTGGTAAGAGTAGATGGTTTCATTCCAAGTTGTTACAGACATTCTTAAGGTTGAGATTTTAAATTTAAAATGAACTAAAATTTAAGACTTACTTCTTCCATCACACCACCACATTTTGCATGCTTATTTGTAGTGGCCACTATTGGAGCCCTGGCTGCTGCTGCTCACCTGGTTCCAAGTGCCTGAGGCTGGGATCTTTCTCCTCAGTGCAGCTGCTCTGGGAGGTCTGTGGTATCTCTTCTCTCTTCTAAAGAGAGAAGATGGCACTGGAAGAATCTGGCCCTTAGAGCCCAGTGTGGTGGCCATATCTGTAGTCTCAGCACTTAGAAGGCTGAGACAGGAAGATTGAGACTTCAGGCCAGCCTGGGCTACATAGTGTGAGATGCTGTCTTTAAAAAAAAAAAGAATCCAACCTCTGGTCATGCCAGCACTGCCTGGAGCAGATAGCCTGTAGTTAGGAAGCAGCAAACCTGGACTCAGACATAGGCCTATCTCATTCAAAGGTCACCTGGTTTTCTCTATGTGTACATTCATTCAGTGTTTTTAGTGGACTTGAAATTGCTGGACACTGCTTAGCCCTGGGGACTTGGGGTTATCCAAAAACAATCATGCCCTTGCTCTCATGGAGATCATGATTAATGGGACAAAAAGAACTATTAGGGCACTACTGAAAATGGAAGTGATTAAGAATCAGGGATCTGGATTTCCACAAGTCTTGCTATTCTCTACCTTAGGATGGAGGGAAATCAGAGACTGCATTTCCCAAGGTAGTTAATCTTACCATTTTATACTACAGTGGAAACTCAACTAGAGTCTACCTCAGAGGCAGTTCTGTACAGTGCTGTTGTTTAGCATTACCATTATTTTATTTTTTGCAAATTTAAAAGCACTGTTACAGTCATGATTTGTTTTATTACTGTATTAGAAGACTTGAGGATCTGAAAGTCTCTGTGGCAAGGCTTGCCTTCAAGAGACTTTCTCACTCCAGTGTAGGAATGGGACTCAGTATCTGTGCTGACTATTCACAGCTAAGCTGGATTGGGAGTCTGGTCCTGTCCAGTTCACACAGAAAAGATGCTGGGACCCTTTTCCATTACTGTGAATGAGGAGAGTGGAGGGAAAGGCCAGTCACTCAAACAGTTGACGTTTTAGTGAAGGGCTCCCACTAAAACCCTCCAAGTTATTTTTTTCATACAATGCTAAAAATAGTGTCTTCCTCCTGGTCTAGTTGCCACTTTAAATTCAGAAGAGGAGAGTGACCCTCCAACTTACAAGGATGCCTTCCCTCCACTTCCTGAGAAAGCGGCCTGCTTGGAAAGTGCCCAGGAACCTGCTGGAGCCTGGAGTAACAAGATCCGACCCATCAAGGCCTCTGTCATCACTCAGGTAATGTCACCATGCCTTCTTACCCTGTCCGTCCACAAAGGAAGCAGTAGGATCTGATGGAAGGATTCTGAATATGCAAACATGAATGTGCTTTGAGTATGGAAAGGGAGGGGCTCTTCAGACAAAATCAGTCTTCCCTTTCCTCACCTGCCTCATACTCCTGTAGAGCACAATTTCTGCCATGCTTACTCTGCCTCCCAGGCACCTCAGCGGCTGGCACACAGTTGGATGCAGGCAGTATTTGTCAGATTCATGGGGTACTTGTACTTCTGATCATTGCAACCCAGTCCCTGGTCCCACTTGTAAAGCTGCCCTTATTGGCGTATTGGACATGTTACTAAATCCATCAAGAGCTGATCTGTCTGGAAGCGATTAAGTTTTCTTTGACTTTCTTAGCCCTTCTCCCTGCTACCTGAATTTGAGATGTTGGCAGGCTTTAGAGCTTCCATGTGAATTGATGCCTGGTTGTGGTGGGAAATTGCCACCTTGTCCTTGTCCTTGTCCCTCTGTGCTGATAAACAACTGCATCCCCATCTTTCCATGGTGATCTGGCTGTTACCTTGTGAATAATCTTGCTAAATGTACCACTTGAGTGGTTCAGGCCTCAAAGCAGGGGTAGTTGATCCCTCTTGCTTCCACCCTTTCCCCTCTTCAAACCATTCTCCACAAAGCTGCCGAGTCATTAAGCAAAATGTGTCCTGCTTAAAACCCTTTTGACTTTCATTACAGGGTGGGTTGGTGATCCCCTTTACCTGCCCCCCCTGCCTCCTGATCTGCCTTCCTGCCTGCTGCCTGTGCTCTCCTAATGCAGATGCTGCTTTGTCTCTCCAGGAAGATCTTTCCTGGTCACCCTTAATGTCTTCCTAGGTGCTCACCTTATTTATCTGCTCACTGTTCCTAGGTAGGCACTCTACCACTTGAGCCACGCCACCAGCCCACTTTGATCACTGTTTCTGGTGCTCCCTCCTTAATCATTTGTGCAGTGAGTCTAGTTCTCCACACAAAATGCCAGCCCTCAACTGCCTTGTCCCAGGGCACTGCTTAGTGAGTGAATAAAGAATGAATACATATTCTTTAACTCCCCATCTTTCCTGTTCTTTAACATTTTAACCTTGCTTTTTTGATCTTTTCCGAGCAGGTGTTCCATGTACCCCTGGAAGAAAGAAAATATAAAGATATGAATCAGTTTGGAGAAGGTGAACAAGCAAAAATCTGCCTTGAGATCATGCAGAGAACCGGTGCTCACCTGGAGCTATCTCTGGCCAAAGACCAAGGCCTCTCCATCATGGTCTCAGGGAAGCTAGATGCTGTCATGAAAGCCCGGAAAGACATTGTTGCTAGGCTGCAGACCCAGGTGGGTGTTACAGGTCTGGTTCTCCTAACTGACTCTGTACCAGAGCGGCGTCTCTGGCTCCTACTGATGTGGGCTAGAACTTTGCTGGATTTTTCTTGCCAGTGGACAGTTCAGTTATTTGGAGTTAGAACAGCAACATTTGGAACCCCTGGCGTTTTTAGTGAAAACCCACTAAGTAATAGAACTGGGGCACTTACCATTTCAGCTGTTTAAATGAATATACTGAAAATTAAAGGCTTGTCCTAGTTTGAGACACTTAAAAGCCTCTGGACTTAATAGGTGGTGTACATCAGCAATTCCCAGGCTTAGCATGGAAATCAGCTAGTGCAAATTACACATTTCCTAACTTGGGATGTTACAAGTTCAGATTTTTTTCCTCTATTCTTGGCAGTGTTGATACCAGTACTTGGAATTTAAGAACCATTGAAACAAATAAGTAAATGTATGGTGCATTTCTCCCTAAGACCAAGAAAAATGCAGAGAAGCTTACTAAAATGTCATGTGACAACTATCATGCTACATGGGTTTTTTTTTTTCCAGAAATGAGGGTTCCTTCTACCTGTTGCTGAGCCTCCACAAGCTCAAATGGGTGCTATCTCTAGAATGTGGTGGTTAGATGGGCATCTCACCCTGCTTTGCTGCTGACTGAGCCACATGGGGCCTCAGGGCAGTCCCAAACCCAGGCTGGCCTCATGGAATTACACAGTTAAATGTCACGAAGGTGATTGTTCCTCATTGTGGCTGGTGTGTGGTAGGCTCTGAAATTTCTGTTTCTACTAGTCAATAAATATTTGAATATCCGTTTTGTGATCAAATGCTGCAAGGGGAAAGGACACGTCACTGAATGAATTTAAGGGGTCATGTGAAAACATTTGCCCACTCCCCTGCATCTCAATTTATTTTTTTAATGGTACCATGGATTGTACCCAGGGCCTGGTGCATGCTTGTCAAGTGCTCTACCACTGAGCCACACCTCTAGCGTCTCAATTATTTTAAAGCAAGGGCCACATGTCGTGGTGCACACAACAGTATTAGTAAATAGTGACTGTCCTCATCTCTTAGACAGCAGTGTGATGTTCCTGTGCAGCAGTGTGATGGGCCTGTCATCTGTCCCAGCAGCAGGCACTTGGGTACTTCCCAGACTTGCTAGTATACATACTGCCACAGCAAACAACTATGCATGTGCTGTTCCCTATCTTAACAAGAGTATTTTGGGATAGATTTCTGGAAGTAAGATGGCTGGATCAAAGGATGACCACATGTAATTTGTCCACCTGCAGCCAAATTCCCCTCCCTTACAAGTTACGTGTCTCATACTTCCATCCACAGTGTACAAGAGGCAGGCTTATTCAATGCCAGTCTGAGAGATAGCTGAACATACTTTTAACTTGTATTTGCAGTTTGTTTCTGTGAAATGGCTGCTGTTTTCCCATTTTTCTATCAGGGTCCTCTTGCTCACTTCTCAAAAGCTCACTAATTTAGAGCTTCTAAAAACCCTTCATTGGTCATAAAAATTACAGATAATTTTTTCCAGTTTGTCATTCCTTTTTTGATCTTGGTGTGTTTGCTACATGAATGTTTTATTGTTATGTAATCACATTTATTTTTATTATTTGGAATTATTGTTAGGAAATTTTTTTTTCACTTCCAAGTCATAAAAACGTTTATCCATATTTTTCTTAGGTGTTTGTAAGGGTATCTAGTGCCACTGTTACCACCTCCATCCCATTCTTAGGTCTTTCTTGTTGGTTCTTGTCTTGTTTTTCCACATAAGCTTTGTAATCGACTTTGTGCTAAAACTACAGTAGTTTTTAAGAATTAACCTTAAAAGAATTGACATTTTTATGATTTAACTCTTTTGTATCTTTTAACCATGTTTTCTAGTCTGTGATGCGTATGTTCCACCTTTTGTTGGACTTGTTTGGCTATTTCCCTTCCCTTTCCTTTTCATTCGCAGTGCTGGGGATGCAGCCCAGGTCTACACATTAGGGCCTCTGCCCCTGAATGACACCCTCGCCCTTACACTTTCTAACTGTGACTGTGATCCGTGTAAGTTAAGGCTGCTGACTTCTGGAGTCTTAACTTTTTCTACCTGTTATAGGCAGTAAGAATTTGATAAAGTAGCAGTTTCTCCAGGGTTTCTGGGTGTGCAGTCAGTTGTCTGTTGTGTCCTAGCTTTGTGCAGTTTACCTTCTTTTGTCTCCTTTTACAGGCACAGGTCCCAGTGGGTGGTGAGCAGCAATGCAGGCACACTTGAATTGGCCCTGGCGGGGGCCAGAGGAAGCTCCCTGTGGGCATTGCGTTGCATTTGAGCTCACACTGTTCTATTGGATGGGTGGGATTGGTGGGTATTCCAGATAGAAGGAATATTGTGCAAAAATGTGCTTTTTCAGACTTACTAGTATTTTTGTTGTTTTTGGTTCTCTTCCTGCTAAAGGCTTCAGCCACTGTTGCCATTCCAAAAGAGCATCATCGCTTTGTTATTGGGAAAAATGGAGAGAAACTACAAGACTTAGAGCTAAAAACTGCAACCAAAATCCAGATCCCACGCCCAGATGATCCTAGCAATCAGATCAAGATCACTGGCACCAAAGAAGGCATTGAGAAAGCTCGCCATGAGGTCCTTCTCATCTCTGCGGAGCAGGTGGGGCCTCTGAGAGTTCCGCCCAGTGCAGACCTCCCTCCCTTGTAGGCTGCCAACCTCCTGAGTGAACTGTGGCACAAGGTGTTAAGGGGTGGGGGCTCTCATTTGTGACCCTGGAAAGCCCTGTCTGCTCCTGCATGTTCTCACCAGTCCACCCATCCTTTCCAGGATAAGCGTGCTGTAGAAAGATTAGAAGTAGAGAAGGCCTTCCACCCCTTCATCGCTGGGCCGTACAATCGACTGGTGGGTGAGATCATGCAGGAAACAGGGACACGCATCAACATCCCACCTCCCAGTGTCAACCGAACAGAAATCGTCTTCACCGGAGAGAAAGAGCAGCTGGCTCAGGCCGTTGCTCGAATCAAGAAGATTTATGAGGAAAAGGTGAGGTGGGGTTGGTGGATCTGGAACAGACAGTAGGATTTAGTTAGGCTCCACTCTGCCCTTGGTCTACTTGATGTTCTACCAGATGGTGTCCTGCCCCAGGCCTCTGACCATGCTAATAGGTTGCTCCTTGAGACTGCCACAGGGAAGGTGCATACAGCTCAGAGCTGTTCACATCTTTGATTAAGCTGTTGGCTCAAGTTGGTCAACTTTAAGGTCTGAAACTTAGTCCTTAATTTGGTGAAAGAAGTTGGTGTTTTCAAATCTTCCAGGTTTATTGTATGGCCTGGAGGTGACTAGACTTGGGGACAGTGCAGACCTTGAAAAGTGGGCTTTCTGGGGAGGCTGGTTGTGGTCCCCATTAGTTGGGGATCAGCATCTGTAGTCTGAGTCCGACTCTGTTGGCAACGACATTCTCTTCCCACTGCCCACCTCCCATACCTTCTCTGCTGATTGTCCTTACTGCTCTTAATCAGAAAAAGAAGACCACAACCATTGCGGTGGAGGTGAAGAAGTCTCAACATAAGTATGTCATCGGGCCGAAGGGAAATTCATTGCAGGAGATCCTGGAAAGAACTGGAGTTTCTGTTGAGATCCCACCCTCGGATAGCATCTCTGAGACAGTGATACTGCGGGGCGAGCCTGAAAAGTTGGGGCAGGCATTGACTGAAGTTTATGCAAAGGTAGCTCCCACTGATGGTGAGGTGTTTGTTTTGATGACTTTGGAGACTTATGGGCCAGCTCTTGATCTATCCTGGGGGCTGAAACAATGTGGAGACACTTACCTCTGAACTCTTAAGTGGGCAATCTGGCCTTTGTTTACCATAACCTTGAGCTGTACAAACCCACAAGTCTGCTTTCCTGTTTTTTCTAGGCCAATAGTTTTACGGTCTCCTCTGTCTCTGCCCCTTCCTGGCTTCATCGTTTCATCATTGGCAAGAAAGGGCAGAACCTGGCTAAAATCACTCAGCAGATGCCAAAGGTATGGAAGCATTTCAAGTCTATTACTGCACTTGTCTGATATCATTTGTCATTGCTGTTTGTCCTATGGATGCCTTTGAAGACTGTGCCACATTTTCAAGCTCAGTCATCCTATTAGACACAGCCAGCTTCCATGGCTGGCTATGGGAGTGCAGAATAACTGTTTTTAGGTACATGCACCATTATTTGGTCTTAGTCACCAGAGAGACTGTGCATTGCTATGTTTTAAACACGCCACTTAGTAATAGTGGTGTAATAACTTCATAATGGTTTGAAGGGCTTAGAAGGCCTGCTTAGGTTCTTCATTGCTGTCCCTACCACAGGGCACAGAGCAGTGCCCAGGGACATGGACTGGAAGGAAGCAGCAGAGAGTGTGCTGTTGCCCTGTGTTTATTCCTGTTCTGTTGAGATTAGTGACCAGCTAGCTTGATCATCAGTTCACTTTTTCTAGCTTCAGACTCCTAGTTCACCCAGATGCAGTTGAACTACTGTCCCTTCCTGATACTTTGCATGTTATAAACCAGGCAGATAGCAACCTGACCAGAAGAAAGTGAGATCTTCTACCACTTAAGACAGTTGTACTTGCTTTAATATTTCATCTCTGCCATTTTTCTTCCGTTTTTGTGAGGGGGAAGGGGAAATCTTTTGTTTCTGTTTTTTATTGTTGTCTTCTTGAGATGGAGTCTCACTGTGTAACCCAGGCTGGCCTTGGATGCTATCCTCCTGCCTCCGGTTCCCAAATACTGAAATTACAGGTTTGCACCACCATTCCCATCTCTCTTTTTTTTTTTCACCCCTTCCCCCCACCATCTCAACCAAAGAGGAGCTAGCTTTCCAGGAGCGCAAATAATACATGAGTACATGAACAGTGGTGATGTTCATATGCTTTAAGTCCGTATAATCAGTTTTGTGGGCAAGCATACATGACAGACTTTGCAGTTCTTGTTCTTGGCAAAAAGAAAACTTACCAGACCATAATATTTAGTACCAAAATAATTGCCCTCCCTTTAGCTCTTGACAGTGCTGGTGGATGTGATCCTCCCTCCCTAGTTTGAAGCAGTAGCACACAGGTCACTGTTGCTTGTGCCATTTGTCTTTGACCAACCCTTTCCTCATTTTGGTCTGGTAGGTTCATATCGAGTTCACAGAAGGTGAGGACAAGATCACTCTGGAAGGCCCCACAGAAGATGTGAATGTGGCCCAGGAGCAGATTGAAGGCATGGTCAAAGATCTGGTAAGTGGCCCTTCAAGCAGTCATGTGCTGGCCACAAGGCAGGTTCTGGTGAGGTGGGGACAGGTGGAAATCTTATTAGTCAGGTCTCAGTGTGGGCAGAGATAAGGGAGCATTGTCTTGCTGGGTGAGTAGGAGGTTCTGAAATAGCTAAAAGTTTGCCAAGGTCCTAGGAAAAAGGAAAGAATTGATGTGTTCTGGATTTGGAATCTGGTTCCTTGTCTTAATGACCAGGCACATCCTGAGGTCCAAAGCGCTTGTCTACTGACCCTTCTTTGCACTCCCTCTCCAGATTAATCGGATGGACTATGTGGAGATCAACATTGACCACAAATTCCACAGACACCTCATTGGGAAGAGCGGAGCCAATAGTGAGTGAAGCTGAGCGGCGGCTATAGAGCTCCCTGAAGTCCTTAGGAGGTGGCTGCTGTGTGCTTCGGGGCCTCAGGGTAGACAGCCCAGGCCAGGTGCTACCATCATAGAAGCTTTCTGGTGTGGAGTCTTCTGTACCTGCCAAAAGAGGCCAATTTGCTTTCCTCTCAGGACCATGGCTGGTTTAGAGCTCTTTGGTCTATAGGTGAACTGTCCCTTTCAGAAATTAACCTGAGTAGCTCTCTCTGGTTGACTCATAGGCACCCAAAGCCATGCACAAGAACCACATCTGTCACTTTTCAGCCAGAAACTGATAGGTTTAGTTATCAGTGTTGGTAGGACTCTCCTAGTCTCGTGCCCAAGTCCATCAACACTGAAGAGGGGTTCTGTTGAGTGAGTGCCACATATCAACCCAGGCTCAGTGTATCAGATTGTCTGGGTCAGGTATAGGGACAGCAAAAGAATGTGGTGACTTAAATACTTACTTAAATGAGCACAAGATTTTTTTTTTTTTTTTTGTACTGAGAATTGGACCCAAAGCCTATTGGTTTTTTGAGACAGAGTTTCGCTGTGTAACTCAGACTGGCCTTGAACTCAGAATCCTCCTGCCTCAACCTCCTGAGTGCTGGGATTAAAGCTGTGTGCCACCACACCCAGGTCCAATAATGGTATTTAAAATTCCTGCTCTGCTTAGTTTAACTGCACAGCCATACCCATACATCACATACTTGCGTATTCTGTAAATTACTCAACTCCCTGAACTTACCTTTGACTGGGAAAGCCAGCACATCCATTCCTGGATCATTCGGTCGACAAGGGATGCTTCCTGGTTTTCCTAATGACTGGCATCCATGCAGCTTGTTCACTCTGCAGTGGCCTGGTGTCATTGTTGTAGTCTGTAACATTTTCATGATGGGGACAAGAATCTCCGCTACACAGTGATCCTGGTCAGTGCTCACTTTCACACACTGCTTGAACCATGTATGAACTTGCTTTTGTAGTTTTGGGTTTTGTTTTAGTTAAATGTAATGTTTAAAAATATAAGGACGTGTGATACAGTACAGTTCTAACATTACTTTCTGATTTCTTCTCTCTAGGAATTGTAGGAACCTCTTAGTACACCACGGTCAGAATTGTGTCTACTCTGTTTTCTTCTGATACAGTTCCTAACACTCATTTTCTTCCATTGATCTAAAATCTTCCCATCCCCACCACTTCTCTTCTTGCCCTGTGCTGTTCCTTCCTGGAGCAGCCACCTCTTCGTGTCGGTCCCCATCCCACATTGCCTGTATGGTTTGGAGTGTGTGCACAGGGCTCACCTTGGTCCTTCCAAGGAAACTTGCTTTTCTTCCTTTGTATCTCATTTCCCAGAGATAAGACTTCTTCAGAGCTGGGTGCCTATGGCTCACACCTATAATTCTAGCTACTTGGTAGGCTGAGATTGGGAGGATCGTGGTCCAAGACCATCCTGGGCAAATAGTTCACAAGACACACACACACACCCATCTCCAAAAAACAAGAGTAAATTGGACTAGAGGTGTGGCTCAAGCTGTAGAGCGCCCACCTTGCAAGTGTGAAGCCCTCAGTTCAAACCTAAGTCCCACCACAGTTTTAAAAAAAAAAAAAGGACTTCTTCAGAGTTTTGCATCTTGAACAGTAGCACAAAGTCCTGTCAATGAAGCACTCAGTTTGGGTCTGAGCTGAGCCTGGAGTCTCTGGGCAGCAGCATGGTTCCCATACACTTTTAAACCATGATGAGGTGCCTCTGTCTTGAGTTAATGTGTATAATTTTTCACCTGAATCATAGTTCCCGAACTTTTTGCACATTAGTAACACCTGGCTTCTTTATTCTAAAGCCCTAACCACATGATACACCAGCTACATTTTAGACTGTGTAGTCCCAGCTCCCGGGACAGTGCCAACCTGCAGCCAAATTAGGAGCCACTACTCTAGAAACCTCGCAATCCAGTGAAGATAACCGTTTCTCGTTTTAAACAATGGAAGTACTTGTTTTAGAGGCTAATCGCTGTTTTGATAAATGGGAATGACCAATAAGGGTATTTGAGGCTTGGCCCCATTCCTCTTCATTGTCAGTCATTAGTAGACCATTGTAACTTCTGCATCCAAGACATGTTTCCTTTTTATCCTAAGTCAACAGAATCAAAGACCAGTATAAGGTTTCTGTCCGCATCCCTCCTGACAGCGAGAAGAGCAACCTGATCCGCATTGAAGGGGATCCACAGGGCGTGCAACAGGCCAAACGGGAGCTGCTGGAGCTTGCCTCTCGAATGGTAAGCCCTGTATCCAGGTCCTGCCAGGAATGCACAGGCCTCTGTCTGTTGGCTGCCTCCAAGAAGCAGTGCTGTTGGAATGTGTAGTCCTAGAAATTGGAGGTCACCAAGTCCTACATTGGGTTGACTCACTGGGGCCACATTTCTTTTGTCCTCCCTAGATCCTCAGATGACCAGCATGTCATGTCTCCCTTGACCCAAGTGTGCACACCCTGAGGGTCTCTTGAGCCTAGCTGCCAACTGCACAGATTGTGATAATGTTTCCAAACTTTTAAAGGATCCTAGGGGACTCTCGTGTGTGGCCAGACTTGGGAATCATTGCAGTGTCACTACCTGCCAGCCTGAGGTAGACTGTTCTCCACCCCAAGGCAGAAATACCACATTGCTTGGGATGTCTGACAAGTGGCTTATGCTGACACTAGACTATAACCACTCTTCTACCTGTCCAATGCAACAATCACACAGTAATGATTCTTGAGTCCAGCTGCACAGAAAAGTTACTACGTGCCATTAAGAGTATATAGAAGCTGAATAGGACCCAGTAATTATGTCCTGGAATAAGTTACTGTCTAGCAGTCTCTGTGTCTCTATTCATTGTCTCACCCCAGTACCCATGCTAGGTGTGGTCCAGCCTCCTGCTGCCTCCCTGAGCTCAGTAATCAGCCCAGTGTCCTGGTTTTTGCTCTTCTGAGGTCTCTTCAGGATGCCTTGCCCAAATGTATCATCTCTCTGTACTGAATCGCTGACTTCTGTCATCCTGATGCTAGTCTGATCCACCAGAATCCTTCAAAATGTTTGATTTTAGACAAGATCGGGCATGTTCAGGGTGGTATGGCCGTAGACAAAAAATGTTTGATCTTAGATTCCCTCCTGGATTCCTGCTCTGCCTGTTCATCAGTATTTCTTCTGGTGTTTTAATGTGGCCTATGGTGGAGGCTGAGACCCACATGGGTTTGGTACCCTGTGTTGAATCATTCTTTCTTGGTTATCCACACAGGGAAGGTGGTCTGGGGTGAGGGACTCCATGCTGTGAAGAGTGCTGGGCTCACAGGAGTGTGGTGGGAAGGGAAGTGATGCTGGGGGTGCTCTGGTGATTATCACTACCGTGACAGCACTTGTAACTGAAAGGCCCTATAATCGGTTTTTTAATTGTGTTTCATTAGGGAAAATAACGCACAACCATTGCAACTGAGAGGGTGACGATTTTGGGAGCGAGTGGGTGTCCCATGGTGGGCATTCTAATGGCCTCTTGCTCCCAGACCTTGCTGCAGGAGCCACCTGGCACCACCTCTCTCAGCTGCTGCTGGGCAACAGCTGGGCTATGTGGTGGCGGTCCCTAGGCTCCCAGTGCCTCCTGGTGATGAGAAGTCTTTAGCCTTCCTTGTGATAAATGGCATCATCTACTTTAATGATACTTTAGGAAAATGAACGTACCAAGGATCTAATCATTGAGCAGAGATTTCATCGCACAATCATTGGGCAGAAAGGCGAACGGATCCGTGAAATTCGTGATAAATTCCCAGAGGTAAAGTAAAGGTTTCCCAAGGGCATTCTTTTATTTTGGGTAGGGGAGAGGTGGTGCTAGAGATAAAGCCCCCCCAGGGTGTTCTGCATGCTAGCAAAGCTCTCTACCACTGAATTACACCCCTAACCCCAAAGGCATTCTTTACCCCTCTAGGATAGTCTAATTTGCACTTTAGGAATATTCAGTATTTTGGAATCTAGTCCTGATGATAAAATTCAGTCTGATGATTTCTTCTAGGTTATCATCAACTTTCCAGACCCAGCACAAAAAAGTGATATCGTTCAGCTCAGAGGGCCCAAGAATGAGGTGGAAAAATGCACTAAATACATGCAGAAGATGGTGGCAGACCTGGTAAGGGGACTTTTGCATGCTTTGGTGCACGGCGTGTGTCCTATCAGAATTACTGACTGTCTCTAGGAATCATTCCCCTTGGGGAAAGGTCTGCAGTCTCACGGGCTTGGGAAAAAGTGGTGAGGGCACTTAATACTGGGTGTTTAGACTGGCAATGATTGTCAGAACTTGTGTGGGGGAAATTCAAGTGTCAGAGTCCCTTTTTCATGTGTTTTTACCCATTTTCTTGAGGGAGTCTTCAGATATCTAGGTAGAGAAACCGCACTGTATAGAGAGAGTTAATACATGTCAGATGAGGGAGGAAGGGAGGAGTCATTTACTGATTTAGTGTTTTCTTCAGAAATTGAACTGGGAAACCAAGAGGGATGCATACACTGTACTCCCAGCACTTGGGAAGTGGAGACAGGAGGATAGCAAATTGAGGACACCTGGGATACATAATGAAATTCTGTCTCAAAAACCAAAAAGGATAAACAGAACAAAACTGAACTGTGAAAAGGTTTGAAAAGTGTGAAATAGGAAGCCATGGTCACCCAAGGAGGCTTCATTATACTTAATGCTTGCCTCCTTAACTCCTTAGCCAGAATGTTGGTTCTAGGGCACGTGGCCAGCCCTGATTGCCTCTGCATTAATAGTATATATCTAGCAGACTGCAGGTTCTGTTGCATGCCATGTTTTATAGAGGGGCTTTAGCTAAAGTGTCTGTGACATGCCAAGTTTGTCAGATGTTGGACAATTTATCTTGTTTGTCCTCATGACAGACCTAAAAGTCAAATAGATGGGGAGAAAAGTAGGCTTTGAGTCTGTGTTAGCCAATAGCAGTGTCCTGTCCAGTTCATGCTGATTGGGGTTAGAAGGAAAGTTCCTACTGTCGCAGATGGTTAATTGTGCCATCTTTTTGTCTTTCAAGGTGGAAAATAGCTATTCAATTTCTGTTCCGATCTTCAAACAGTTTCACAAGAACATCATTGGGAAAGGAGGTGCAAACATTAAGAAGGTAACTATCTCGTCCCTGGATTTTGGCTCCTTTTGCCCAAACCCCGCACTGTCCTGTTGTAGATAGAAAGGCAGGACTGACCTTTCCTTCCCAGCCCTATACTCAGATGTGCTGCTGTGGGAAGACTGCTGATCTCATACTCATCTCCTGTCCTGTAGATTCGTGAAGAAAGCAACACCAAGATCGACCTTCCTGCAGAGAACAGCAACTCTGAGACCATTGTCATCACAGGCAAGCGAGCCAACTGTGAAGCTGCACGAAGCCGGATTCTGTCTATCCAGAAAGACCTGGTAATGGGGGCTGTTTCACAGCAGATCCTGCCTGCTCCCTGGTTGTAAAATCCCAAGTAACACTTTCTGATCCAGGCACATGGGGCGATTGGGCTGACATGGGGATCATTAGAAGACTGCAGTTGTGAGTCCGGGTAGTGCTAGCTGAGTGGCAGGCTTTTCTCTGCATCACCATGCTTATTTACACAGCAGTGATGTTTGACTTAGTAATTGTGTTAGTAGACAAACTAGGTAAAATTCACTTGAAAATCATCCTATCTGAAGGGTCTTACAATATTTTCCTCAATTTCTAAAAAAGCTAATGTGATAAACTACTCACTGTAAGTATGTATTGTTTGATAATTCTAACATGCATACACCATGGAATCATCTTCACAGCCAAATAAGGGACTATAGCCACCACCTCAGGTAGGCTCCATGCCCCCTACATCCCAGGCTCCATCACCCTGGTCCCAGGCAGCCCACAATCTGTCTTCAGCCTCAGAAGATGAGTTTGGGTATTCTGCACCTTGCATGAGTAGCATCACAGCATATCCTGGCTGCTATTCGTCTGCCAACATTTTGCAAAGTGTTTCTGAGATTTACCCATGTCATCATGCATGTTGTGCTCCGTTTTCTCTTTGTAGGGTGGTGTTTTGCTGTGAGGGTGGAACGTCTGCTTCTTAGGCTTGATAATTGGTGTCTTTGATGAGGGGTTATCAGGTTTACTAGCATTAAGTTTTATAAACTATTCCCACATTACCCTTACTGTCTGTACTGCTGTCACCTCTCATTCATGAAAGGAGTAATCATGTCATTATAAAATGACCCCCCTTTATCCCTCGTAATATTCTTTGCTCTAAAATTTTCATTTTCTGATATTAAAGTGGGTTTAATATCAACAGCTTTTTTTTTCAACAGAATCTGCCCCTGAATTTTTAATTGTGATGCTTGCACTTCATTACATTTATAATTCTGTACATTATGTATCACACACTTATTTACATTTATTTTATATAAATTTATTATATATAATTTTAACTTATATAAAATTTAAATGTAATTAATATAAATTATGTAATTTTTATTTATTACATATAATTTGTTATGTGTTTATATTATTTTATATATATTTAATGATTACATTACATTTAGTGTGCTCTCTTATTTTTAATTTGGTAAAATATGCTTAGCAGAATTCATCATTGTGACCGTTTTCAAATGTGATTCATTGGCATTAATTATACCACAGTGATGATCCCTCGGCTTGTTCGTATCTCTGTTTTTTGTGTGATTTTGTTCTGTGCAGTACTGGGGTTTGAACTAGGCAAGTGCGAGTCATACCACCAGCCCTATGACTGTTTTTGTGTCACTGGATCACTTCAGTCTTGTCGGTATATGTCCCCAAATTACCCAGTGCACGGTCAAGTGACCTTGTGCCAATTTCTTACCCCTTCTCCATCTTTGCCCCACATTCCTGCCTCTTACTCTCACGTGTTACAACCCGACAGTACATTGTTGACCTTTTTGTTTGAATTCCAAATTATTTTTTTAGAGATGTAAGTAATTTTAAAAACCTAGTTGAGTGCTGGTGACTCACACCTATAATCCGAGCTACTTGGGAGGCTGAGATTGGGAAGCTTGAGGTTCAAGGCCAGCCCCAGGAAATAGTTTGCAAGACCCAATCTCCAGAATACCCAGAGCAAAATGGACTAGAGATGTGGCTCAAGTGGTAGAGCTCCTGCTTTGCAAGTGCAAAGCCCTGAGTTCAATCCCCAGTCCCACCCAAAAGAACTTTATGTATTTACCCAGGAGTTATCATTTTAGAGCTCTTCATTCTTTGTGTGATCCACAGTCCACTTTCCTTCTGCCTTAAGGATGTCCTGTAGTGTTCTCATAGTGTGTGTATGGTGCTGCTTAATCTTTTTGTTTCTGAAAGATAATTTTTGCAGGATGCACATTCTTTACTCAGTGCTCATTTCTGTTGGTGCTCCCATGAGAACTCTGATGTCCTGGGCTGAGGGTGTGGTCCTTGTGGTAGAGCTCCTGCCTAGCAAGCACAAGGCCCTGAAAAGTCAAGCAAGGCAAAATACGAACAAACGAAGCAGCTAGAAGGAGTACATGGAGGGCTGAAAAGCGCTGTGGCTCAAGTGTGCAGTATTCGCCTGGGATCTTTAAGGCCCAGACTTCAAACTCCAGTACCAGAAAAAGAAATCTGGTGTCACTATCATGCAGTCCTCTGTACATGATGAGCCCTTTCCCTTTGTGTCATTTTCTTTGCGTTTCTTCTCTTGGTTCATGGAGTTACTTGCATATGTAGGCTTATTGCTGTCATCAAGTTTGAAGAAGTTTTGGCTGCTTTCCCTTAGTATTTATCCTGTGACCCCCTATTCTCCTTTCAGGGACCCAGTTACCTGGATGTCAGTTGCTCTGTCCTTTAGATCCATTAACTCTCTGCCATGTCTAATCTACCTGTAATCCCATTTAGTACAGTTTTCATTAGAGACATTTTTGGATTTAACTGTAGAAATTCAGTTGGAATCTTTTATTAAAATCTTCAGTTTACATTCAGTCTTCCTTTTGGCCTTTGACCACAGCATGTTTCAGTGTTCATGACCTCCTGATCTAAACATGTGTGTTATTTCTGGGTTGTTTTCTATTTTCTTTATCTTGAATTGTTTTGCCTGTTTGTTGCAAGACTGTATTTTTTTATTGTGTATTTTTGTATTCCTCTAAATGTTTTTGAGATTTAAGCTACTCTGAAACAGTTTGCTTCTTTTGGACCTGCTTTTAAAGTTTGTTAATCAGGATAAGAACCATGTCTACTTCAGGCCCAAGTGAACTACTGAGGTTAAACACTCCCAAGTACTGCACTGAGGGCCCAGAAAGTTTAGGCTGAGGATGGTGCTACGCCAGGCACATCTCCTGTAGTCCTTCTTGGGCTCTTCCCACCTAAGAGCAATGTCTGCACATACTGGTGTGTAAGTGGTCTCCAGGACTCAGGGGTTCTTGCTCTGTGCCACTGTCCCCTGGGTTCTGACTTGTGCCTGTGCACTGCCTCAGCCTCTGAATATTAGCTCTGTTTCCTCACCTCTTGAGCTGTAGCAAGTTGGGATAGGTAAATTCACCTTCTGCTGTTACATTTTGGGTGGAAGCAGAATTTTTGTTTTAATAGGACAGTTTATCCACAGGCATATTGGACTCTGCTCTGGCAGCTAGTGGCCAGAGTTGACTGAAGAAGCAAAATCCCACGTTGTGTGATGTAAAGCCGCCCTTTCCCCCAACACTCCATTGAAAGACTTCTGATCCTAGTGAGTCATTATCTCCAGACTGAGGCTGACTTCTTTCCCACTGCACAGCATATAATGTTCTCCCGCTGTGTGTTTGGTTTTAGGCCAACATAGCCGAAGTGGAGGTCTCAATCCCCGCCAAGCTGCACAACTCCCTCATTGGCACAAAGGGCCGTCTGATCCGTTCCATCATGGAGGAGTGTGGTGGGGTCCACATTCACTTTCCAGTGGAAGGTTCTGGAAGTGACACCGTTGTCATCAGGGGCCCTTCCTCAGATGTGGAAAAGGCCAAGAAGCAGCTCCTGCACCTGGCTGAGGAGAAGGTAAGCCCTCATTCAATGCTCCCTCTTCTCAGTGTGGGTAATTCTAAAAACCTGTCTTTGTGGCACGTCAGAAAACAAACAGCCTTATAGTAGACCTTGATTTTGCCATTGCTTGTACTTTCCTAGGTACAGATACCCATAGACAATAAAGTTCCTCTTGGCTTATTAAAGGTTTTGGGGGGTGAAGGTATCACTTTAAAATGTCATTTTTGGTAAAACTCAAGATTGTATATAGTTCTGGGTTTTTTGGTAGCTTTGCTGTACTAGGGATTGAACTCAAGGCCTCATGCTTGCTAAGCAAGTGCTCTGCCACTTGAGTCAGTCATTCCCCAGTCTTTACAGTTCTGAGTTTTGACAAACATGTAGTCATCTGACCACACTGTCATCAAAATCCATTGAACATCACTGCCAAAGGTTCTCCATTGAGTTGCCTTTGTCAAACTATTTCGTGTGGATCTGTTTCTGGCTTCTTCCACTTGAGCAGCACCATAGTTTTGGAATGGCCAGCCTTAATGGAAGTCCACACATCAGCTGGTATAAGTCCTCCAGCCTTGGTTTGACTATTTTCAGAGCCTTTGCCTTTCTGCATGCATTTTGGAACCATCCTGTCAGTTTCTGGGAAAGAAAGCATGCTTTGATTTTGATGGGGATTGTGTGTTGACTATAGAGATGGAGTCAGTGAGGATGGGCAGCTCAGCAGTTTCCAGTCTTCAGCCCGTGTCTCTACAGGTTTTTAGGTTTTTGATTCTTACTGGCGCTTTGTAGATTTTAGCATACAGGTCTTATAGGTGTGTTGTTTGGGTTAGATGCTATCCTATAAGTTTTTTTTGCAGTACTGTAAACAATACTTGTTTTCAGTTTCCTGTTGTTACCATGTGGAAGTACATTTGAGTTTTTTGGTTTTGTTTTTTTTTTTTAATATGGCCCTTGTTTCATGAGACTATTAAATACTCACCAATTCTTGTAGCTTCTTTGTAGACTCTAGTATGTAAAGCTCATATCATCTGTGAGTAGGCAATTGCATTTCTTTCCGATCTCGTGTTCTTGCCTTGCTATGTTGAATAGGTCTCCCAGAGCCTGCTGCAGCAGAGGTAAGGAGACAGCCTTGCCTTGCTCATCTTTCACCATCAAGTGTGATTTGCTGTGTGTCTTTTGTAGCTGCTGTCTGTGAAGTTAGGAGATTCTCTTCTGAGTTGAGAGTTTTAGGGGGAGTGAGTTTTGAATTTTGTCAGATGCTTTTTCTGTACCTCCTAACACAATTATAATTTTTTAATTAGACTTAATGTTTTGTTTATTGTATTTAACCAACCTCTTGGTTTTGATGTTTATTTGTTTCTATTTTTTGAGACAGGATCTCATTGTATAGCCTAGGCAGACATGGAATTTCTGATCCTCCTGCCTCAGTCTAACAGCTCAGTTGTTTAAATTTTACATGTTAGGTAATCTTTTCTTCTGTATTCTTTGTGCTGTGGGCCCGGTCTCAGGTCCAAAGGAAAAGCAAAATGTGCCTCTGTGGGTTCCCCTGTTCTTCCAGCTAAGTCTGCCAGAATCACTGGTATCTGTAAGGAGGTCACAGAGTACGGCTTGTGCTACTGCAAAACCTCTGAGAGCGCTCCTCTCAACTGTGGCGTTTGTGTCTCAAGGAGCTCCAACCTTGAGCCACCAATTGCTTTTTTACATGTGCTAGTCTTTGGCACTGTGGGAGGGAAGAGGGCCAGCCCAGGTAGCACTTCTGTGTGTTTGGCCTACAAACACGTGGAAGGGCAGACATTGAGTGGCAGGGCCCCTGGGGCAGTGCATGTGCTACTGTGCCAAGTGCACCCCATTCTCCTCAAAGTGAACACCTTATCACTGCTCATCACCACATCCCCAGCAGATTAAAATGACTAGAAGAGGTTTAGTCATTGCTCGTATATAGCAGACCAAAGTTATAAGTTTGCACCTCACTGTCTCAGCCTCTTTCTGATAGCTGTGGAGAAAAACAACACTTACAGTTTGTCTGGGTGTCCATCTGTTGAGGTGAGGTGCTATTAGCCCCATTCGGGGGTTAGGGGGTTGGTGCAACATCAGGACACTAGTGTCAGTGTAAGGAGAGCCACCCCATTCTGCTGGCCTCTAGGTGCTCTCATTCACCCATGCTGTGGTCCAGGCAGGCAGCTAGTGTGGAGCTAACATACATGGGGTTGGTGTCTGCAGCAAACCAAGAGTTTCACCGTGGACATCCGAGCCAAGCCAGAATACCACAAATTCCTCATTGGCAAAGGGGGCGGCAAAATCCGCAAGGTGCGTGACAGCACCGGAGCCCGAATAATATTCCCAGCAGCTGAGGACAAGGACCAGGACCTGATCACCATCATAGGAAAGGAGGATGCTGTCCGGGAGGCCCAGAAGGAGCTAGAGGCATTGATCCAGAACCTGGTAGGGAGCGGGCCTTGGCTGTTGACTCTGTTCATGCCATGGTGGGGTGAGAGGTGGGCCATCTTCCATTCCTTGTCTCAACATCGCAGGATAATGTGGTTGAAGACTACATGCTGGTGGACCCCAAACATCACCGCCATTTTGTCATCCGAAGAGGTCAGGTCTTGCGGGAGATTGCTGAAGAGTATGGTGGGGTCATGGTCAGCTTCCCACGCTCTGGCACACAGAGTGATAAAGTCACCCTCAAAGGAGCCAAGGACTGTGTGGAAGCAGCCAAGAAGCGCATTCAGGAGATCATCGAGGACCTGGTGAGTGGCTCTTGTCATCACTGAGCACTTAGCAGTGAGTGGTCACAGGGGCCTTATGCACAGTCGCCTTACTTGCCTGCCTGTGGCCTCAGTCAGGAAGGCTGCTGACTTTAAGAGGCAATCTCTCACTCTCTTTTTTTATTTTGTTCTTTCCTTTTTAATGACAATGTGATCTACACAAGGACCTGTTTGTTTGTTTTTTTTTTTTTTTTTTTCTTTCTAGGTAGAAAAGAGCATAGACTGAGGGAATGAAGGTGTCAGAGTGAACCCATAGGGCAGGCACATGAAAGCACATTGGCTTTTCTAAAGCAACTTTGAATGCATTTCCTTCCTCCCTGACTCTCTTGATTGTCCTTTGTGTGGCCTTAACGTGCCGTTTCCGTCACATTACTCACAGAGTCCCAGACTATGACAAAAGTGATGCTTCTCAGTTGGCTAATATGTCTGTAGATGGGGGGGCAGTGCTTCCTCTATGTGTGTAAAACAGGTGTTTTCTGTCTGATGCAAGCACAGGGAAGTTCTGTATTGAAGGTGGCAGGTGTTTTCTGTCTCAGGAGCTCCCTACAGAACAAGGCCTGTCCCTTCTGTCCTGTGCTCCCCCTCCACTCAGTCAACCAGGATCACTAGGTTCACCTCCTAAAAGAGGCTGTAGAGGATGGGGAGGATGGTGTAGGGAAAGTGTTGGACTTAAGGAATTTGACCTTTGCTCTTTTTTCTTTGTGTTCCCTCTTCAGGAAGCTCAGGTGACAATGGAATGTGCTATACCCCAGAAGTTCCATCGATCTGTCATGGGCCCCAAAGGTTCCAGAATCCAGCAGATCACTCGAGATTACAATGTTCAGATTAAGTTCCCAGACAGAGAGGAGAACCCAGGTGAGTCCCCTCAGCTCTGTGGCTATCACTGCCTATAGGCTACCATGTGCATCAGCTGTGTGCCTCCCTTGTGGCTCTTCTCTGCTACTGCTTCTGATGCTGGAGCAGTTCTTGGATACAGTGTGTGAGTTCCAGGTGCTTCCAGAAATTCAGGGCCACTTCCTGGCCCATGTCTGTGTTCACAGAGGACAAGGCCAAAGAAGAGATAGGAGCTTTCAGTGTCTTGTTTGGGAAACCCAAGTTCAGCTGCAGTTTTTCTCTGGACAGTGTTTCACTTGGGTGGATGTTTGCTCAGCTCCATCCAGAGCAGCCTCTTCCCCCCACATACCACTGTAGACATGTCCCCTTCCAGCCTCTCACATCAGCCAGAAGGCATCATCCAGCAGGCTGATGGCTCTTCTGGAAGGGCTGTTAGCATGGTACCCTGCTTGTCACCTGCCTCTGCTTGTGGACCATAATGGGGAAGGCAGGTGGGAGAAGAACCACAGGTGTGGTCAGTGGTGGAAGAGGTGGTGGGTATGAGTGGTAGCAGCGTGGTCATCTCTCTGCTTGCTTTGCATGTGTGAGGCAAGGGGCAGGCCACCTCCCTATTGATTTGGTCATTGTTCTGTGTGGTCTAGCCAACCCTGCAGCCTGCCACGTCCACTCAGTGTTACTGGTTTGACATCCATAAATCTGGTCATATGTGGCCATTCCAGCTCCTTGTTTTCCTGAGAACACAGGCTATTTGTGTAGGAACCTAAGTCGTACTTCTTCCCCATTTGTGCTTCATACCTGAGTAAATAGCTGTTTTTAACTTCTTAGTTTTGATACAATTTCATACTTAGAGAAAAAACTGCACAGAACGGCATAAAGCTACACCATCATCCAACACCAGCGTTTTCTCAGCCCTCCCCTTTTATGCACACTTTTTTCTGAATCATTTGAGTGTAATTTTTAGACATGTCCTTTTATCCATAATGTGTTTCCTAAGAATCTGAACATTCTCCTACATGACAATGGCATCTTCATCAAAGTCAGATCTGAAACTGCACAGTACTGTTGTCTACTTCACAATCAGTATCCCAATTTGCCAGTGTTAAATATGACCTTCAGCCAGGCGCCAGTAGCTCACACCTGTAATCCCAGCTACTTGGGAGGCAGAGTTCTGGAGGATTGCAGTTTGAGGCCAGCCTACACAGGAAGTTAGTGGACCCCATTTCAACCATGGGCATGGTGGTACCACCTGTCATTACAGCTACTCTGGATATGTAAATAGGAGGATCATGGTCTATGCCAGCCTGGGCAAAGCTGCAAGACCCGGCACCAAGTTCGAGCTCCCGTACAGTACCCGTCAGAGCTCTCCACCCAGCTCTGGATTTAATCCCGGATTGCAATTCTTCAGGCATTCTGTCTGCCCGTCTCCTGTTCACCACTTAGAGCATGTGGCTCCCTGGATTCCTGTTCCTCCATGGAAAACACTGGGCATTCACTCAGTGTGCACATGACCTACCAGAGTGGCTGTCCAGCTCTCCGGCAGGACTCCATGTCCTGTTGGCATGCCCCTTTGCTCTTGGGCTCTGCTTCATTCTGCCATGAGTAGCTGGCACAGGTTTACCTTGGTCTTTCCCTGACTGTCCCTCCTAAGTTTCTCAGACCCTACCCCACTGCCTCTCTGGAGCTGGTTTACCTGGACCTGACTATGTGCCATTCTCCTTTCCTCGTGAGCTTTGCCTGGCAGTCAGGCTCCATACATGTAGTAGGGCCGCTTTGCTCTTCCCTGGTGGATTACTAGCTTATCCTCTTTACACATCTGCGGTTGTTACGGTGACTCCACTTTAAAGGTGAGGAAGGGAGTCACAGAACTCAGGAACCCCATGCAAGGCTGTACATCTGCTGTCCCACCCAGCACATAGAAGGCAGATGAAGTGCCTCCTGCAGAGCAGTCATCTTTGGGCTGTTGTCAGCTTCCCCTTTTTCCCTCTCTCCTTAGTTCATAGTGTAGAGCCAGCCATCCAGGAGAATGGGGACGAAGCTGGGGAGGGCAGAGAGGCCAAGGAGGCTGACCCTGGCTCTCCAAGGAGATGCGACATCATCGTCATCTCTGGCCGCAAAGAGAAGTGTGAGGCCGCCAAGGAAGCGCTGGAGGTAGGTGTTCGGGCCCTCTCCTTGTCCTCCCTGAAGGCCAGGCCCTTAGGTAGTAACAAACAGATTTTGTCGTTTTGGTCCTAAAGTACCATCTATCCATGTCTGGCTGGTCACAGAGCTCAGAGAGGCTGCTTCCCTTCACCAAGACCTGAGATTCTGCAGTCCCGTCTCTGGACAGCAGCATAGTCCAGCCTTAAGTTGTGGGCATGGAGGCTGTGGAGGTGGTCTCACTAGTAGTGGGCGAATGTAACCTTAAGCTTCAGTCTCTCCTATCCCCCCACGAAGTGAGGATAATTGGCTCAGGCTTGTCATAACTAAGACGTGTGTGGTGAGCGTTTACTGAGTGTCACCTGTGGGTCGGGTCCTGTTGTGAGCACTGTGAAGCCACAGTGGAGAAAGATGAGTGGTCAGCAGCACTTCAGCGGTAGAGTCAGACACTGCGGAGGTGACGAGGTGTGGGCAGCCAGCACTGGGACTTGAGTGCAGACACCGAGATCAGTAGCCATCCTGGAGAATGCTTAGTGACTCGCACAGACTTTACCAAAGCAGGCATGACCTTGGGGACATGCCAAGAGCTGGGCCTCTGTGTCCTGTGCCCGCCCCTTTCCAGTGGGCATCAGTCTGTTGGCAGTCCAGGAGGGTGGGCATGGGGTACAGACTGAATCCGTCTCAGTCAGCATTACCCTAGACTGGGTTTCTTGTCCTGTCCTGTTGTTAAGGTCCAGGTAGCCTGTCAAATGGGCACACTTGTCCTCAGGGTTCTGCCCTTTGCTCTTAGCCTAACCTCCACCATCTTCCCTTACAGGCCCTGGTTCCGGTCACCATTGAAGTTGAGGTGCCCTTTGATCTTCACCGTTATGTCATCGGGCAGAAAGGAAGTGGGATCCGAAAAATGATGGATGAGTTTGAGGTGGGACCCTGCCCCGGACTCCATGCCATATGGGGAGGACTCTACCAGCTGTGGTCACCAACTCATGCTGGCCTCCTCCACACTGCTTCCTGCTAGTCTGATGGAGCACTGACTCCCTCCCAGGTCTCCCCTCGTTCATCCCATCCATCCCATGGATGTCCCATCCCCAAACCCCCCATCTCATGAGGGTGGGCTTTCATCATACTCCCTCTGAGTCCCAAGCTTTCAGTACACCTGGGGGTCAGGTAGACTTAGTCCTGTTGCGCTGCTGGCTCTAGACATCAGGTCTTCATTTCAACAACGTAGGTGAATATACACGTCCCAGCTCCTGAACTGCAGTCTGACATCATTGCCATCACTGGCCTGGTTGCAAACCTGGACCGGGCCAAGGCGGGGCTGCTGGAGCGAGTGAAGGAACTTCAGGCTGAGCAGGAGGACCGGGTAAGCACAAGCCTGTCTGGGAGTGAGCTCAGTACGTACCCTGGGAGGCTTCCTTAAGGCCAGGTCATGGCTGCTAGGCAGTCTAGTAGGAGCTAAGTAAGGGTAAAGTTCTCCTTTAATACAAAAGTGGAAAAATTGGACAGTTGTTACGAGAAATAGCAAGTTAACACAACAAAATCAGAAGAAATGTTTTGGTGCTCAGACCCTACAGAAAAGATTGGTGTCTCAGCTCCAGGTAGCTGCAGGCTGACAAGCAAATGGCTCCCTTGTGTGCAGTGGAGTAAGACCCCGCCTCTCCTCCAGCAGAGCTGCTGTGTGAAAGCTTCTGAGAGGTGCACTGCACAGGAGCAGGGCAGTCTAGGAACTGGAAGCAGATCATTCTGGGTTGACTGGCTCTTTACTAAGGGAATAATGTTCTTTTTTTCTTGGAGCACAGTCTGGCAATAGAGCTTTGAAGCCTTCTTGCCCACTATGATCGTGCCCCAGAATGCACCTTGGGTTCTTTTCCTCTAACCAGGTCATGACTCTAGTCTTAAATGGAGGGCCAGGCTTTCTGTCCCCTGAAAGCTCTTGGCCCCATCTGTACCCCAGCCCCAAAAGACCAGAATGTTTTCTTCAAACTGATTAGATGTGCTGGTCACAAACTCAGGAAGTAGGACCCAGAGCTCAAGCAGCTCACTCCCTGGCCTGTCCCTCCTCAGTGCGGATGCCTACCTCCACAGTGGTTAGCAGCTTGTTCCAAGGAATGTATGTGCTGAACAGGAGGACCTGGGATGGACTAGTGTGGTTAGGGCCTGTAGTTCTCATTTATAACAGGTGATCAAAGGTAGCGTGGATCAGACAAAGAGATGCCTAGCTCTTCTGGACCACAGGGATTAAAGGCCACCTACTAGCAGGACGTTGGAGTGTCTGCCTTGTATTTCTACAGACCTGTCTGAAACGGGCATGGGTACACGCGGCTTAGCTGTAGGGCAGAGTGCTCTCTTTGCCTCATTCTCACTTGTTTCATTTGTAGGCTTTAAGGAGTTTTAAGCTGAGTGTCACTGTAGACCCCAAATACCATCCCAAAATTATTGGGAGAAAGGGGGCAGTGATCACTCAAATCCGTTTGGAGCATGATGTGAACATCCAGTTTCCTGATAAAGATGATGGGAACCAGGTAAGAATGACGTCCAACTGAGATGCTGTGGTTAGAGCATCTGGGAGCAGATGGACACTGATGGCCTAGTCTTGACCTGGGCCACGGGAACCAGGCAGACTCTGGATGTGCCACATCAGGGCAAGGGTTGATTCAGTGGCAGGTCTGACAAGGATCTGATTTCAGCTTGAGGTTTAGATGGGGTCTTGATATTCACCATCTGAGTGAGGTTTGCTAAGCGCCATGTGTAATCTGGAGCCTTAGGACATTTTCTCGTGCCTTCTTCAACAGGCGAGCTGGGCCCTCAGTCCGGTCCTTTCTTGAGCTCTCGTGTCTACACGCACAGCTTGTCCATCAGCACTTCAGCATCCCTGGGCAAGCTGTAAGGGGCTCCTAGGAGGCAGGTAGATGTGAGATGGCCAAGATGTACTTTTTCTACAGTCCTCATTACACTTGCTGGATGGTTTCATGAACTCTGCACAGCCTCCTGCTGCATTCAGGATAAAGCGGAGGGGAGCGCAGCCCCACCCCGCCTCATACCTCCCTTAGGCTTCAGCTCTCTGGAGTAGTCCTGGTGTGAGTGGAGATTGACTGCCCTGCTGTTGCCTCTGCTTGTTGGGTGTGGGCTAGCTCCACCCAGTACCACAGCAGTCCCCTCACCGCCACTGCAGGTGTCTTGTCTTCTGCCTTTCCACATTTTCTTCCGCATCTCTCAGACACACACACATGCTGTTCCAGAATATCAGTAGGCCTTGGGCCACCTCGGGTCCTGACCCCCTGCTCCTGAGTCTCATCCCTCCAAGCACATTCTTCCCAACCCTTTGTCTTCCATTTATCTCTGCATTTCTAGCAATGTTTATACCACTATTCTTCTTCTTAACTAATTTTTAATTATCTTCATCTTAAGTGTCTGGCTCTCTTAAGCTTACCAAAGTATGGCTTACCATTTAGACTTGCAGGATTGGTTCTGTGGGCATGTGCTGACCACTGGCAGAGGTAGCCTGGCTTTGCTGTGCCTACTTTAAATGAGGCTGTGTCCCCTGCTGCCTGGCCTCTGGCTGCTGCTGCCTGAGAACCACTGGGTCTCTCTTGCTTCTCTCCCAGGCTGTATCTTTCTGCATTTTGAGATCATCTCCAGGCATCTATTCTGTGGCCCTGTTCTGAGTATTCTGTTCTTTTATTGTGGACCTGCTGTTCCCCCTATCCTGAATACTAAGAATTACAGCTGTTTTGTTTCTGTGTTTCCTTCTGTGCACCTTGAATTGTTTTTGTTAACCTCTGTCTGGTACCAGGGAGGCCTAAGCTAGGAGGGAGATGCCGAGGGATCAAGGGGATCTCTGTGGGTGTTGGGGCCAGGAGCTCCTCTAAGTGGGCAAAGAACTAGGAGGCTGTTGGGCTTTGCTCTACAGTAGTCTCCAGTCCTGTGCCTATTGTCCTGGAATTTACCTGCTGGAGCCTCCTCCATTTTTGTGGGCATGTGTCCTTCTGGTCTTGCACCTTTCTCTTTGATGGCGTTGTTGGGGGAACAGGTGCTGGATGGACACTGTTAACTTTCCATTTTACCTCAGCCACCTGATGTGTTTCTACCTTGCTTCTCTGCTGAGCTGATACGTATTTCCTTTCCTCTAAGGTGAGGCCTGGTGCAATCAGTCTTCCAGCCATGGTACCTGCACTAGGTCGTTCTTTTGGACCAGCCCTGCTGGGTCAGCACACACTTATCATGGGGGTCCCAGTAAGGCCTTCCCTCTTCTTTGACTGCATTCTCCTTTTTTAGCCCCAGGACCAAATCACCATCACAGGGTACGAGAAGAACACAGAAGCTGCCCGTGATGCTATCCTGAAAATCGTGGGTGAGCTTGAGCAGATGGTTTCTGAGGATGTCCCACTGGACCACCGTGTCCATGCCCGCATCATTGGTGCCCGGGGCAAAGCCATCCGCAAAATCATGGACGAATTTAAGGTGAGCCCCCAAAACCACCTGGAAGCACAGGAACGAGAGTTTCCATCCATTGCAAGGACAGAGGCAGCCTGCACGCTCCTGACAGGACTGCTGACTCTACAGGCCAGGAGGAGGATGCAAGTGTGCCCAGCAGGCGCTCGGCTCTCAGGTGATGGGGCCAGGACCCCATGGTCAGTACAGGCATGGGAACACACAGAGATGGCTGTTGTGTTACCTGACAGGTTTGTTATCTGCAGGACGGTACCGTCTTGTAGAAACACTGCTGCGCACACCCGGCACCTTTTTCTGCTGAGAACCAGCAGCTTCCTCAAGTGAACAGCCCTGAGGCTAGGTCTTTGAGTTCTCGGTAACTCAAGGGAAACACCTCACCAGAGGAACACACGTAATGGTCCAGAGTCCTCCCTGGCGTCCTCTGCTGACATTGCATGCTCCTTCCAGGTGGACATCCGCTTCCCACAGAGTGGGGCCCCAGACCCCAATTGCGTCACTGTGACAGGACTCCCAGAGAATGTGGAGGAAGCCATCGACCACATCCTCAACCTGGAGGAGGAATATGTGAGTCCTGAGTGGGCACGGTCTGCAGGGCTGGGGGTGGCTTAGGCTCTGCTCTGAGGCATCCTGTCCCTAACTGGTCTGGAGCTCAGCCACAAACCTGAGGTGACAGCCTCGTGATTTGTGTACTTCCAAAGGCAGGCCAGGTGCGGAGGCAAGTGGGTGGGTAGGTGCCTCTTTGTAGCTCCGCAGAGAATGCTCCGAGAAGGCTCAGCTGACCTGTGCTGCAGACTGACCGGTACCACCTCCCTTATCCCCTGCAGCTGGCAGACGTGGTGGACAGCGAGGCACTGCAGGTGTACATGAAGCCCCCAGCACATGAGGAGTCCAAGGCACCATCCAAAGGCTTTGTGGTGCGGGACGCCCCCTGGACTGCCAACAGCAGTGAGAAGGTCAGAAGGCATTTCTACCCCTACCCTCCATGGGCCCCAGGCAGGGTGGTGGGCCAGTGTCCTGGGTGAAGGGGCAGCAACTTTGGAAGCTGCTTATGCCAGGGAGAGTGACTCTGTACTAAAATTGTGTCCTCCCTTTCCACAGGCTCCTGATATGAGCAGCTCTGAGGAATTTCCCAGCTTTGGGGCTCAGGTGGCCCCCAAGACCCTTCCTTGGGGCCCCAAACGATAATGATCAAAAAGCAAAAACCTTTCCAGCCTGCTGACCCAAACCTAGCCACACAATGGTTTGTCTCAATCTGACTCAGCAGCTGGACCCTCGTAAATTGTTGACGCTCTTCCCCCTCCCCGAGGTCTCGCAGTGAAGCCTGGCAAGCCGGCCTTGTGTGGCCATTTCTCCAGGCCTGGTCGGCACCCAGCGGGCTCAGGATCTACCGTGCTCTGGGACAGGCACGCCACTGTTTTAAACACTAAGCAAAGGTAATTGAGCATTTTGTGATAACACAGACTCCAGCTTCCTGGTCCACCCAGCATGTAGTCAGCACTCTGACCATTACCAGAGCTCCGCAGCAGCGGCTAGGAGTCGACTTCCTGTGTCATGACCTCAGGAAATAAATTTCCTTGACTTTATAAAAGCCAAAACGTTTGCCCTCTTCCTTTCCCACCTGCTGACTGCTTGTCGTCCAGACCTCCTCCTTTGTGGAAAGCAATTGGCCCCTTCCAGCTGCCCAAGTCTGCTTAGTGCAGGCCACAGGGTGGGAGGAAGGCCCAGCTTTGGCTAGTGGGAAGTCGGTATCTTGGAGCTAAAGGGACCGGAAGCTGACCTGGGTCCTTGTATGGTACTGATGGTACCTGCTTTGGATCTGAAAGCACTAGGGCCTCCACTGGACCCTTGGCCCCACTGTCTGCTGTGTGTAGCCTAAAGGTGAGGCTGCATGTGTATGCCACCTGGGTCCCCTGTGGTCACCCACAGTGGCCTGGTATGATCTAAGACTGGCAGGGAGCAGGGACGGGGAGGTGGAGACTTCTTCTCTGGTAACATCTCGACTTTCCCACCAGCTTGGCCCCCGTGACTGCCTCAGTCCAGACACCTCATGTTCAGTTGCCTTCTTTCTACCTCAGCCAGTGCGGTAGTGGTCTCATGGATAAGTTAGTGCTATCCCCAAGGCTTCTCTCTTGATTGAGGTATTTCTGCTGGTCCTGGGCCTGCTGTGGAGTTGGGGTGGGACCTGTGTGTGGAGATGGAGGCTTTTGCCTTCCCTCAGCCCAGGTCTTTTGGGGACTGGCCCAGATCACAGTGCTCATTCCCACCCATTCCTAAACAGCCTGACCTGGTGGCATGCCTGGATGCTATATGCAGGTCATGGGGACAGGTCCCAGGTGCCTGACTTTGAGGTATGGGTATCATGGTCTTGGGGTACAGAGGCTGTCACTTAGCCTGGACCAAGAAGTGAAGCCAAATGAGCAAAGGACTGGGTGCTGAGAGCCCTGCTAGCTGAGGCAGGGTCTCCTGTTCCTCGGGTGTGGCAGGTAATTCTGAGTCACACTCATCAGGAAAGGTGGTCCTAAGCAAAGGTGTCTCTATTGTGTCGTGGGGCCTAAGGACGGGCCTTTCATCTCTAGGTTGTCTGACTTAGCCACTAGCAAGTTGTCCTATCCCAGACATTTGGGTTCCTAGCAAAGCCCTCCCTGGGGCAGTCACGCCTGCTGTGACACCAGTTCCCAAAAGCTCAAGCAGCTCCAGATGTGCCCTTTCATAGGAGGGATAACCGAAATAGGAACGCATCTGCATTGCTGCCTGAGTGAAGCTGGGTGGATGGGACAGGGAGGAAAGACTAGGGGCTCCCCCTCCCAGAGCTGTCTTGTCTCTGGGGAGCCTGGGGGAAGGACTTTTGCCTTCCTCATCTGC